GGAGAATAGTTTTACAGATAGTATTTAGATTCTCAAAGGTAATCTTTATATATTTCACACTATTTGCTGATTTGGACACGTAGCTTGAAATAACGTTCACACCTTGCCATGCTCTAATCAAATAAGAACTAAGGAAAATAAATACTGAGTTGAGAATTTAAAATTTGAATATCCACAATATCATTTAACAAATACTTTGTCAGAGTTTGTTGTAACTTTTAATTCTTTCTGTAAATGTTTTATTCTAGGTACACTTTGTTTATAGTATTGTATCCAATGGGAGTCTCAGGCGAATTACTCACAATATATGCTGCATTACCCTTCGTCAGGCAGTCTGGCTTGTATTCCATTAGTTTACCTAACAAGTACAATTTCTCTTTTGACTACTATACATTCTTGATCCTGGTTATGATCTCTTACATTCCAAGTAAGTATGAATTTGTTAGCTTTTTTAGTATTACTAGCTGTAATGGAAAAGCTAATAATTGTGGGATTAACATACATATAACTGATTTAGGCTGTTGATGACCTTGTTTAATTTTTGTATGGTTCACAAAGGTTGAATGCCTCGTGGAAATTTTAGCTTTTGCTGTTTATGTTCCATCCCCTACTTTGTTGTTCTGCAAACAGACTGTGTAACATAATCTTAGAAACAAGAGGAGAAAAGGCTTTGTGTGGAGGATAGAGAGAGAAAAGAGGCACCAGTTCATATAAAATGACATATATTCTGAAAAAGCAACACTAGAATTGCAAGAAGGGAAACAAATCTGGAAATTTCATTCTTTTGGAAGGGCTTTTTCCTCCCTGCAATCATTTTTCTTTCTGTTGTGTGGGTGTCATCTACTTGTACAGGCAGAGTTAAATATGGCATTTTGCATTTCATTAAAAATGTGATTGCTTTAGCAAAAAATAGATAATACCTGAAGCCTAAGAATCATACCACTTCTTTAAAGTGTAAAAGGCAATAGATAACTTGAGCAAAAAGTGGATAAGCATGTTCTCTTTTAATGGAGAACTAGTGACCTTGGCTGTGTGAATCTGCATCTCACATTGACTTGCAAACCTCGCTTCAAACTTTATTGACTTGAATCTGTTTTCTCTTCAGTCTTTCCTCAGCTGTATTTTCATATGCTACACCAGAGGCGAAAGGTACTCTCCCACACTGAAGAACATAGGAAGTCGGAGTAATTCCAACACTTTTTCAGAACTTTTCAAACATCAAAATGCTGCAGTTTTTCAATACCCAGCACATTTGTAAAGAATATACCAAGATAAGTCAGAGGTAAAAGACCAATAATTTAGCAAGAATAACCAATAAATCTGATTCCACTGAAATCCCAAGTGTAAAACATTGAAATATTTTCAGCTTACAGTGCTTCAGAAAACTTTTAAACTTTATATGGCTTGGCAGTTAACATTTTCCTTAAATGATGTGCTAAATGATTTTCATTTATTATTAAATGCCTGAAGGTTGCAGTATGAGTGATGAAGTTGTACCCACTAAATGCCTGAATTGGGATTATATTACCAATACCTCTTTTTTTTAAGTGCTTGACTGCATGCCAGAAACTGTATGTATTGCTGTGAAAGCAAACAATATGCTCTGGAATATTTCAGGATAATGTCAGAGACTTCAGTGGAGAATGTAATCTGGCCAAAGTGTTTGAATTTAGAAAGGTAGGTTGTGTATTTAAAAGGTGACGGGAACAAGAACAAGAAACCAATTACGGGAAATGAGGGGAATGTAGTTCTTTAGGAATTTAAACAGTACAGTGTCTGACCAGAGTGTGTTCTCTGAAGATCTTGTTTAAGCTGAGTACACAAATGCAAATGTTAATTCAGAGGCTGTAATGCTTATCTGAAACATTAAAACTCCTTTTAATTACTGCATCCCTGGATACTTTTTTACATATTAAAAAAAATTAAAATTAATACTAACTATAATATTTCTAGTGATACCGGTAATGAATCTAAACAAGATAAGGAGGCAAGTCACCAGAAATGTGTGCAGTTCTCCTTTTTTACTTAAATTATCATCTTTATTCAGTGTGGAGGACTGTTTGGTCTGCTGTGGAATTATCTGGGGGCCTTGTTTCTCAGCCTAACTTTAAGTGACTGGTGTGTATCACTGTGGCACATTCAAGCAGGCAGTTCCAGGCACTCAACTTCTGAAGTGTTGCAAAGTCATAAGCTGCTCTTTTGAAAACAGATTATCTCATGTGTTACATGCTGCTTTTGCAGACTGGACAAGCCTTTCGTCATCTGTTCTCTTGGAAGAGTGGAAGAACACAAAGTTATATTTTCCTCGGTGCTTCCTCTGGGTTCTCTGGCTTAGCTTTCCCTTGGGAAGATAAAACAGAGAACAAGAAAGCCTTGTAGTGAGGCAGAAAGCACTAATGCTGTGTGAGCAGTGCCCCAGGTTATTAAGAAACTTTTGACGGGGCCAAAAGGGTAGGGAATGGAAGGGGCAAAGGGAGCAGGGAAATGAACAGATACCCAAGCAAAGGCAAAAGGAAATGTAGGTTATGGCCTTTGCTCTGTTAGGAATTGATAGCCCAATAGTGTTGTGTGAACCCAGTCAGGGTCACTAGACACCACCACGTGGGCTTCTCTGGCTTCCCTCTTATAACATTATGATTTGGTGCATAAATGAGGTGTGACCTGTACCATGCTACCTGCGGTACTGGGCTCGTGCTGTGCCTGCCAGCACCTCCCCCTGGACGTGCTCAACACATCCCAGCTCTCCCCAAACACAGCCAGTAAGTACTGAGGGCACAGGCTTTCTTTTCTAGCACTTGGGAAGAGCTGAATTTACAATTATTTAGGTTTATGCTTGTCAGAGCTATTTTTTTTTAAAAACTTTGCATTTTTCAGTAATTTTCTTTGATTCCATCAAAAGGTCTGAATTTTCCTAATTCTCAGTATATAGCACATTTCCTGTTTAGACACAAACAGGGCTATAATGAGCAGAGAGAGGGTAAGAAACAATAATAATCTTTGCTTCTATTTTAAACACTTTGGAGCCTATTATTGACTATTCAAAAATACAAGAGGCTGTACCAAGGTGGGTGTTGGTCTTTTCTCCCAAGTTACAAGTGATAGGACAAGAGAAAAGTGCCTCATGTTGCACCAGGGAAGGTTTAGATTGGATATTAGGAAAAATTTCTTCATCAGAAGGGTTGTCAAGCACTGGAACAAGCTGTCCAGGGAAGGGGTGGAGTCACCATCCCTGGAGGTATTTAAAAGAAGTGTAGATGTGGTGCTTAAGGACATGGTTTAGTGGGACTTTGCAGTGTTAGGTTGGACTTGATGACCTTGGAGGTCTTTTCCAACCTACACAATTCTGTGATTCTGTTACTGTGGCCATATACAGCCTCAGACTGGTTTTTGGATTCGAAGATGCAACAGTTCAGTTAATTTCTGCATTAGGTTATGTGCTTTGTTGTAGTCCTCTGAGAAATGTTACATTGTACTGAACTGTTTGAAAGTGTAAATTTCCACCTCCGAACAAAACATCTTTTGCTTATACTTGCTGTTAAAGAAAGTGATGTCAGTATTTCTGAAGGATGCCATCTAAAAGATCTGATTTCCTGATGTACTTAGGTTATTGGATATTGTTGATGCTCAGCTCCTGAACTTTCTTAATTTGATTTCTGGGCCCAAATAAAAGATTTGGTTTCAAATTTGTTGGTCCAATTTGGAGGAAAAAAAATGGCTGTGTAATACTCCAATATGAAACAAACTGCTGGCTCTGCTGATGAGAAAGATATAGTCCAGATCTGTGTACAGTACAATCAGATAGCACTGGCACCATGGGAAAGCAGAGCGTGCTGCCGGTAGGGAGGAAATCTGTACAACCAACACCTTTACTGAATAAGCTTTATCACAGAATATTTACTTTAATTGAAAATATTAATTTACCACACAAATGCAAATAAACTGCAGACTTTTAAAAGAAATTGCTTTGCTAGTAAGAAATTTTATCAGCAGAGTTGATTTATAAGTTATATTCTGCAGTATGAACATGCAGTTAGTATGTACAAAAATTCAGCACTTCATCTTGCAGTGCTTTTTCAAGTTTATCTTCCATGGAAATCACTGGAAGGTGATCTTGAGTGAGAACTGTAGTGTGATGCCCTAATCCTCTTTGGGTTGTTCCTATTGACTTTGGTCACACATGTGGGGTTTTTCCTCATAAAATAAGAAATTTCCCCTCATCTGTCACTGAGGCGGTAATGTGATTTGTGTGAACTCTATAACAGAAGCTTTGATTGGTACTGTTTGTCACGAATGTAGAGGGTTTTATTTTCCCCACAGACTATTTACTTAGCTTGCATGTTCTCTATCAGCATATCCAAACCAGCAGGCGTTCTCTGCTTTGGTGTCTCTGTTGTGTGCACTGGTTCAGTTGACAGCACTTTATGTTCTACCCTGCTGGCTTTGTCTGAGTTAGTCACTACCCTCTAAAAGACCAAGGCTCTTACCAGTGTATAGTTTACAACTGGAATTGTAGAAATGTTCATATTGTAAATTACAGTAAGATGCAGGTTACAGTGCAGATAAATTGTAATTTTTCACAATGTGATGTTTCTATTAAAGGCGGGGTTTTTTGTTATCATAATGAAGGTTGACATTTGTGTGGACCAATCTGCAGTGTCATTTGAAAACCTTTTTCAGCTTAAAATTTTCATGAGTATACATCAAATCATGCATTTTGATGTATATGTCAGTGAAATTTGGGTGAAAACTATATACAGTCATTTTTGTATTTTTTTCTATGTTGTGAAGAATAAAATTGTAATTTTATAAGTCTGATTCACTAAGATTATTATAAGTTAAATGTATTTTTTGTATATTTAGGAATCTGATATTACCTGGAGCTCTGAAAGATGAAGCATAGACTTTTTATGCATGGTTGAAAGATATTTCAACTTGATAATGCAGTGAAATGGTTGGTATGCTAAAATACTAGTCTGTGTTGTTGCCTTGTGAAACTGATTCTGTGCTCTCTGCCTGGACTTGGCCTACTGATCAGTGATACTAATTGCTATAATCCAAATAAAATCATTCTGAACAAAATACGTTGTACTGTTACTGTTTAAGGAACAAAAGCAGGTATTTTATAAATGTGAGTTAGGACTGTATTTTTATTCATTTGTATATAACGTGTACCTTGCAATTCACAAGATTTTTTTTAGCATATGTAACTCTGGAGCTCAGGCAAAAGAATTAAAAACTTCATACTGTTATGAAAGCTCTGCCTTTCACTTTCAGAAGAGGTACTCATAACAACACATTAACTGTGTCAGCACTCAGACTTACAGCTTCCTGAAGGATCCTCAATAGAATCTGAGCTCTTTGTTCCCCTGTTGTCATTTGTAGTCTGGATGCTGATGGTTTTCTACAAAAACAAAATCGTTTGAGTATTATAAATATAGTGGAATGCTTAACTAATGCAATGGAATACTTCAGAATTCATCTACTAAATATAATATGTCTGCTACCACGGCAACGTTCTTAGCATTTTTAACACTTCCTGAGAGAGATTTAAAAACTGTGTCTAGATGGCATTAATGCTCATGAATAACGAGTTATAATCCTCTAATAGGAACTGAGTAGTAGTTGCAGAGTGAGTGCTATTATTCTGGCCATATGCTTGTCATAAGATTGCACAACTACAGTGATTTTTTTGTTGATTGCAGCCGGGCTGAACTGATGTTGTCGTGCCCAGCATCAGCACATGTCCTACGCATGATGGCTGTGACTTAGCACTGCTGTGTAATTAAAAACTCCTCTTTGAAATGTTACTCCGTGAGTGGTGGTGCCGAGATCTGTTGGTGCCTTAGAATAACTTCTGCTGGTTGTTTGGGTTTCCTCTTTGCATTTTGAAAACAGTATGTGTGGAAACAGTTCTAGTTCCCTAAGGTAACATTATAAAGTATGACCAGCGTAAGGACTCTGTGTTTGCAAGCAATTTAATATCACAATAGTACATAAGGCTCATCTTAAATAAAGCACTGGCAGTTCTTGACATTAAGACTTGAGGAAGAATCTGTGCTGGTGTGCTGAGTATAAAATAAAAAGATGTGAATATCTGTATGATTCATTTGATATGAACTGAGCATTTCTACAGTTGGGATTGATTGATTCAAACCACCCAACTGCTTGGGACTTTGGCTCAATATCAAGTAGCTTTTAAATTCTGCTTCCCATCTCCTAAACAGATACTCTTCCACACTTGTCAGAAGACTTCTAAAAGTAGTAAGAGAATTAATAAAGCTTCTGAAGGCTACCTTTGAAACAGTTGGAATTTCAGATGTGGGTGGAAAATTTAAAACTTTTAATACTGTTGATCTCTGATCTCCAGAATAATACTTTACAGATGGGAAAGAGCCTAAAGCCCTTTTTATGTCTTCACAAATTAATTGGGCATTAATAGTGTGAGAGGTGTGTTTTTCTCTTTGATGTGCTGACATAGATAATGTGCTAATATTAGGGAAAGAGATGTTCCTGTCAGTATTATATCTTAATTTTTCTAGTGGTTTAAGTAGATGCATATTATTTCAATATTCCACTATAAAAGCATAATTCACAATACATAGAAACACTTCCATGTCTAGTTATACTTGTACAAACTCAGTGTCACAGCAAACTGCCTCTCTGCAGATTAAATTTATTTCATATAGTTTATACATAAGAATTTGACATTGCCTGGTACTACATGAGGATGATATTATTGGGAAAGTCTTTGGTGGAAGTTTTTGCAAAGGCCTATTCAACTGAATTGCATATTCTCCTGTCTTTTTGACTCCTGCTACAGACAGTCTGCACAGTCTTCAGTGAACTGTTATCACTTGCAGCAAGTGTACATTAAAACTTTATTCGAACAGCTGAACTCACAGAATCATATTTACTGTGTAATCTACATTCAGCCTCTTGGGTAATACAGTGGGTTAGTCTCATTCTACAGAGTGATAATCTGAAGAATATATAGACAGAGATAGAGGCATTTCAGGTATCTTCTTTAAAATTAGTTGTAAATTGATGTCAATTTAAAGGTCAGCCCTATGTTTTTTTTCTAGCATGCCTACAGAAAATATCAGTTGTGGAGAGGATATAGGAAGTGGAGAACCTTCCAATCAGCCTAACCCTAGGTTGCTTTTATGAAATCAGTTTGCCTGTTAAAGGTTTCTTTGGGTAAAAGACAACCTCTTCACTTACTGGATAAGAAAAAGATACTGAATGCTGGTCTCCTCTGCTAAATGACAGTCAATAAAGAGATGAGATGGAAGAGGAGAGGTACTGGAGGATACAGAGCTCCACCACTGTGCTTCCCAAAGAATATTTAACCATTGACAAAACACAAAACTTTCCTCCTTTTTCTTTTTGGTATCCAGTAGTAGTTGTTGTTGGGCGTGGGGTGTTGCTATCTGGCTTTGGGTTTTTGGCTGGATTTTTTTGTTTGTTTATTTTTAAGGGAGAACAGCAGCACTTAATGGAGATGCTGCAATGTTTTGTCTGGTTCGCTGATGACATGAAGTTCCTTTTATTCTTCTCCAGGTGTTTATTACAAGATTATGGGGAACTGGATGCACTGGCTTAGGTGCTTTGTTTTAGTCCTCTGTTCCTGTGTATAAACTACTGGGAAAGTTGCTGGTTTGAGAGTATTAAATATGTTTCCTTACCCAGCTTTTTGGTGCAATTTAAATTAAGTAAACAAAGTACTTTGTCAGCAGACTGGAAGAGTGGAAAAAGCTTTCTTGCATCAGCAAGAAAATGGATGTGAAATTGAAAGTCAGACATTGCTGGTTGATTTACTTAGTAAGACTGGAAATTACCAGTTTAACCCTACCAGAGTTAAACTGTACAATCTGAAAATACTGAATTATTCTTCAAAAAGTATTGTCAAGTCAAAGAATGTGTGGAAACCTGCTCTAGGTTTACAGGTGCATTCAAAAAGGGGCAGAGGTAACCATTCATGGACTACTGTGCTCCAGGTTCCTGGTGATGCATAATTACACATCAGGCCTTAACCTTGCCAGATTTTGAAGAAATAAACTGCTGATAGAAAGATGTAAAACTACTACAGACCACTGTTGTTAAAAATCATATGACTTAGTTATTCTTAGTTACATGTTTTAAACTGATACTTGTTTGCAGAATAAGCTATCATTGGAGCCCTATGATATGAATTCTTTGGAATAAATGTGATGTACAATGTATTGTTATCTCTCCATTGTAACTGTGTAACTCAGAATAACTTTTCAATAAAAAAATGTATGGTTTTGTATATTTTTATTCAAGCCTGACTTTCTCATGAAAACTGATTGGGCAGGTTTTTTTCTGGCTGATTTACCTGTTCTTGACTGGGACTATAGTCACTAAAAAATACTAGCAACATTTGAAAGGAGGGTAGAGGTGTTGGAGGAATTCCCCCAACTTGTGTCTGTGTTTAGCTCTAGATCATCTACAGCAGGTGCTAATCTCATGTCTAAGTAAGTGAGGGGGGTGGACTGAGAAAATAAGATGAAAACAATTGAGTCTAAATTTTGCTAGTCATATGCACAGAATGACACTTTTCCATGCACCCTCTTGAGGTTCCTTCATTAGTAAAGTATCAGTCTGGGTTTTTTCACGGCAAATTTGATGGACAAAACCACCTGGCTCTGGGCCCTGGTTTCAGGTGTACTAACTGTGGGTGTCAGGGTAGTGGAACTTGATAAGTTGCTGGTGTACTCAGTTCTATAATGACAAGTTCTATTACGTACTTTAGGGATGTGTGACCTTAACTGTTGGTGCCCCTTAACTATTTGGGCTTGCACTGCAGATAAATACAGTACTTGTGTAAGTGGGACTTCAGACAGCCTCGCTACAGCTTGTGTAAAGGTATTTGATAAATAGCTTAAAACTATAGCTCATGTGCCTAAAACATAAATGTTCTGCTCTGAGCTTCATACAGGCTCCTGGCGTCTACTTGGTACAAACATTCCAGTCCTGTCCTTTGCTGTTATCCACAGGTGAGCTAGCAAGGCTGAGTGCTGAGTAGGTAGATGTGCTACAGGTAACAAATGAGCTGCTGTGTTCACATTCTTTGTCCAGAACTGGAATCCTTGGCTGCTTTTTTCTTGTTGTCAGGATTATGTGAAGTCCCTGTGAATGACCACATGAAGTATTTGTGTTATGGTGAATTCCATGATACAATCCTGTATTGGAAACATGCACATGCATGTGTTACAGATCTGCATCCCAGCTTTGCCTGTACTACACAGCATGGACATGCAGATATATTTTATTTCTATGTTTGGGAGGAAATATTGTGGGTGCTGCTGTGAAAAGGCTGATAAACCTGATTCAGTAAGCACCTTGTCTTGCTAGGCTTCTGTGTACCTTCCCCTAAAAAAACCCCAAAAGTCAGTTGTGAGTCAGGTTGTTTTGGGTTGGGCTTTTTGTTTATTTTTTAAGTCACTGTGGTTTTGTGTTTTCAGTTTTCTCAGTTTTGGTTCTATTCCTTGTGAATCATCAGATTATTGGGAGGGGGGGGTGTGTAGCAAGAGAATTTATAATAGCAGCTCGTTCAGTTAAAGTATTTCATGCCTCCAAGTTGGATCGTGTGATTGTCTCTGGGTTTCAGAGGGCTGCTTTGGATTGTGCAAAGATAGTGAAAGGGCCAAGAACCTCTTTTATAAAAGTGTCACTAATTTAGGGAGCATAGATATTTTAAAATTCTGGATTTAATACGTCCATAAATCTTGTAGTGCATGAAGGCCATGAAGAGGGAAATGTCACATGGGTATTCTGAGGTCACTGGATGTTATTCCTCATTTTAAGTAAATAATGGAAAGAAAGAATGCTAATGTTTATCTACTGCACCTGTTGTAATAATAATAAAGTAAAAAATGTTTTTATACAAATTTATGAGGCTACACGTGAAATCAGAATTCATGTGAATTGTTTGTGTGTTGAAGAAGTTCAGATCTGCTTCATGTAGCTCTCTGTTGTTTCCCTCATGCCTTCTTGAAAGTTCTTGTGGAGTTGACATAACTCTAGTGATTTTGTGCTGGTGTTCTCTAAATCTTCTA